AATTGCGCCAACTTTAGTGTTTGTGTGTGTCTGTGTGTGTTGCACATCCATAATTTCAAAGGGGACGCGATTAAAACTCTATAAGTACATAAATGTATCAAATAACCATACCGAGACGTACTGGTCCATTCTCGTTTGTGTTTATTCTGCCGGAGTCTCTTCGTCATCTGGGTCTGATCAGAGACTATTTATATATTCCGATTCAAACATGTACGACTGAATGACATTCAAAACAGCGGGTCTCCGACTGCCATAGATATCAAGTTACACCCTCATCCAAAGGCAGGGCGGAGATATGCAGCTCATTTGCATTTAAGGTGGTATACACCAAAACAGCTCATTTTCAAACAGGCCCCAAAAATGACTTTTTCAAATGGTTATAATAAATTAACTATGGGGTATTTTGAGCTGAAACTTCACAAATACATTCTGGGGACACCCGAGACCAATATTACATCTTGTAAAAAGGGGCATAATAGGTGCCCTTTAAAAACAAAACAACTTGTCTCAAGAGTCACTTGAGTTTGTAACTTTATGTAACCTGTATTTATCAGTCACATCATTTGTGCATAAAGAAAATATATATTTATGCATGCCCTATGTTGGTTTCAATATATTTGGATGGTCCCTTTAACACATGACTATAAGTAACGTTTTGCCTACATCTCTACTAACTCTCACTAGAGTATTAGTAGAGTATTAGTAGACTGGTAGGGTTAGGGATAGAATAAGTTGACATGTAGTTGCAAAGTTGCTTAAAGTCAATATAATGTCTGTTGGGGAGCATCACAATAAAGAGTTAGCAGATATTAAGCAGACAGTCTACTAATACTCTAATACGAGTTAGTTGACATGTAGTTGCAAAGTTACTTATAGTCAACCGAATGTTCAAAGGGACCATCAAAATAAAGTGTTACCCAAATGTTATATTCATGTGACAATTTGATGCATTCAGCTACCAGAAACTCATTTTACAATGTTTCACTCCATTCTGCTGATTTTCTTGATTGTGAATATGGTGGCGATGCATTTTAGCTGTATGAAGATATGAAGCACACTGGAATGGAAATGCTGACGTGACAATGTGAACTAGGCCATTGGCGTCTCTGCACATTAGTTATACACACACGCGCACAGTGATGGATGAAATGTTTGCACTTGAGAAATACATTATGAGAATCATTTCACCTCAATGCTTTAACAGCAGGAGTAAAGCAGAGGGAGCGGATGCTGTTAAACGAGAGGTTAGTGCTTGTAATGCAGCCATTTATAACTAATAAAGTGTTTGGACAGAGAATCAGCCACTGGTTTGATATCACAGCTGAAAAACGACATCATTGCATTCTGGTATTGTGTTTAAGTCCACCGGTGGTGTAAATCCAGCTTTTAATGTTGTTTGTGTGTGTATGTGCTGTTTTTAATACGCTTTAAGACACACCATTGAGTCGGCAGCATTGACATTATCTCAAAAACACGGTTTGAAATCGTTGGTGTTTCTGATGTCACAAACGACCTTGTAACCAATCAGATCAACGTGTGATCGTCAACCAGTGGGTCTCTGAGCTGAGTGAGTGGGGGCGGGGCTCATTTGCATATTCCGCATACGAACCAAGGGTGTCAAGTTACATTCAAGCTATTTTAAGGAATTTTTGTTCAAAGAAAAACGCTTAAATGTGTAATTTTGATGATCAAAGATGAGTTTTAAAGAATAAAATGATTGACTACTGGGGGTTTTAAACTCTTTTGCCAAGTAATATCATTCATGAGCTGAACTACCGTTTAATGTAAAATTGATATGCAAATCCTGTCTATTTTAACACAATGGCAATTCTATCAAAAGTTTTACGTCAGAACAGTCATGTCAGGAGTAAAGATAGCCGATGTCGTGAGATGAATGGAAAAGCTAATGGAAAATGCTAATGGATAGCTTTCTTTAGGTACCCCGCTTTAGTTTTGACTTAGGTAGGGGAGAGCTGGGCACAACCTAACCCATTTTGGTTTTGGCTCAATTAATTAAAAAATAATTAGGTTAGATTAATAGTTTTTTTTACACAAGCAACATACACATCTCTGCTACAAATGAACACTTAAAGTTTTTTTCTAGGACCGACCATTTTCGTACAGTTGCACTGACAGTGACAGAAGTGCAAATGTTACAACTTACCCCATATGCGGGGTTAATTGTAACAGACATAATTCAGTACTATTTTATTTGTATAGTTTGATATTGTTTGTGCATCTGTACACTCTAAAAAATGCTGGGTTGTTTTAACCCAATTTTGGGTCAAATATGGACAAACCCGAAATGTTGGGTTAAAAATGTAATGTAAAAATTTAACCCAACGGCTGGGTTAGTCCATATTTGACCCAAAGTTGGGTTAAAACAACCCAGCATTTTTTAGAGTGTATAGACAGATATCCATACATCCATCCCTCATCCAATCATCCTTCTATTGTGGATCAATATCATGGATAGAGACGTAGAAAAGGGCTGCATAGTTTTGCGATAAATAATAATAAATAAAATTATAAAATATTGTAATTGCAATTAAATTAGATTTGTGTGTGGCAGCTGCATGTACAATTATAATTATTATTATTAATAATAACAGTAATAATAATACAAATGAGCTCAAAATAAAAATTTAAAGGGTTTATTGCATTAGAAACAGGCCATATTTTTAATAAATAAACAAGTTATCATTCATATTACACTAAATTTTAAACATTTTAAATTCCAACATTGTTTGTGAACGTCCAACAAAGTTAAATGTATAAATAAACACTAAAACCTGAAAAGTTGTGCGGCTTCGTTTTCATTTGATTATCTTTGTACACTTGGCGGCTTGTTTGTAACACTGTGTTAGTACTAACCCCGCGGTGTATTACATATTTTAAACATAGCTAACAGTTTCAAAACGGTGCTGTGTTTGAGCCAACAAGACAATTAAGGCAATATAAAGTTAGATTTGGAAACGTATACACCCAACTCAGAAACCGAAAAAAAATATATGATGAAAAAATTTACTTGCATGGTGTCAAAACACTCTTTGTCCAGTATCTTCACGAAATATAATCAAAACTTTCCGCAAATTTGCGTGAGACCGTCTTCTGGCAGCGAGAGAAAAATAGCAGAAAGACAGCCGGCTTGATCCTGACGAACTATGTAAAACGTCCGTGTTACATTTAACCCCGCGTTAGGTTGTGCCCCGCGCTCCCCTAATATCTTACGTATATGTTCTTTTGTTTGGCACTTTGAACTTTAGTCTCGCAGCTTCTGTAGTATATATAGCACATGTGACGCAGCCCACCCGCCAACAGCACAAACGTTAAACATTAAAACAGGTTTCGCTTGTTTATTGTAAGCCCATCTGTTTGTCAGCATGCCATCATCACCGCCAAACCCATTAGACAGCGTGCAGGTATCGCCGGTGTTAATGAAGTGTCAGAGTCTCTCTCCTTGTTAGTGTGCTTACACTCCACTGCATCTTAATCTGGTGTGAGTCGCTGCACGGGAAGGGGAAGTGATTTCATCAAGGGTTTTCTTGCGTGTCCCCTCCTGGAGATACAGGCGAGGCGTTACAGACTCCAGCAGAAAAACAGAACTTGTTAAAGACTTGTAATTGGTTCAGTACAAGCCTATCGCATGTTCTTGTTTTAAGTTTGTGTGTGTGTTATTTTATGTTACCTCATTTAGGGGACAGAGTCTGCAGTTCTCTTTGAATATTGCAAACCTAATCAGCCCTTCACGGTTTTTGGTGTAGAGTGGGTGATTTTGTTGCATTAGTGGTGATAATAGTTTGGTGTCGTTAGTATTGTGATTTCTAGACTAGGTTGCATATTTCCTCTAAAGTCGGAATGAAATGGAAGATGCTATTGAACAAGAACAAATGTGGGCGGGGCTTGATTTTGTCTGTGACGAATTGATTGGATGGTTGTGGTCAGTGATCATTACGGACAATGTCAGTGAAGATTACGGCGACTTTTGCCTTCGGTAAAAAGGTCCAGAAAAATGACCTCAGGTAATGCTAATGTCGTGCGAATGGACACACTGTAAATATCTACGTAAATATTTAGTCATTTCCTTCTTTAAAATAGTTTTCTGCAGTTTTTCAAGTCTGGAGACGCTTGAAAAAGCATTCAGTTGCGTTCTGCAAGTCTGTGGCAAAACTCGTGTTTCACACACACCATTCAGATCAGAACTAAGAAAAGCACTTGTTAGCGTTCAGGGTCGGCGCTATGGTGGGGCATTCGGGGGCCGTGCCCCCCCTAGCGCTCATTGATGCCCCTCCTACAGAGTATCTAATACAATGCTAAATTATAAATCAGATTTAGGCTATACAACACCCAATGTCCAGCAATCTACTTAAATAGTACATTGTTTTTAATTTGTTGTCTAATGAGATCTAATAATGAAATAAATAAAGTTAAATATCCAAACCGAATGGTCCTGTGGTAGAAATTCAGACCAGCATGCAAAAGATTTTGGGTTCGAACCCACTCTCGCATAGTAATTTTTTTTCCCCCTCATTAAAACCGGTTATGTTTATCAGTGGTTGTCAGGGACATGTTTGAGTGCATTTTACTTTGTAATTTCACCGGTACGAATAGAGATTTCTCCGCAACCGATCAAGCGCGCGTCCATGTGAAGATATTTCTTGTGGTAGCGCGAGCATGAGAACACTCAGCACCACAGATCGCTGTCAACGAGCACTTTGAATGGCGTGTCCCCAAAAAATATCCATTTTACTCATTTTTTTCAATATTAAATGTACAAACTTTAACCTAAATGAAATAAAATGAAATGATTTCAAAATAAATAATTTCGGTTGTTCATGATTATTGACTATTGGTCATCATTGGTCAATCCTTATTGGTCACTGAGTAAAATTGTTACATTTGATTTGCAGCGCGCAAAAGTTGTTGTTTGAATCGAAAACAGTTTTCCGTCATAGACAGCTATAGCGGCTAACTGTTACCCGGGCCTAATAAACGAAAAAATGGATTTACGAAAATGGTTTTGTCCTGCTAAGCCTCTTCCATCAGCAGACTCGGACACTCCGGCCACCACCACCAGCAGCACTGTCTCTGAGAGCCGTGCTGGCCTTTCATCTGATGCTAGCACCGGACAACCACCAGCGTCAACAGACTTAACGGTAACTAATGTTAACGCAGCAATAGAACAACAATCTAAAAACCCTCCAAGTCAGCGAACAGCGGTTGATGATATCGGGACTGACAGCCCTGTCCAAATTGTGTTAAAACAGTATCCTGTAACTGTTTACAGTGGTAAGGGGCGATCATTCGTTGATAAATGGTTTCACGGCAGAGAATGGTTGGAGTACAGTGTCAAGGCAGACGCAGCATTTTGTTTTTGCTGTCGGATGTTCAGCATTACTAGAAAATCTGGAACATTGGATGCCTTCGCGAGTGTGGGCTATCGTAACTGGAAACACGCTATGGCCAAAGACCGTGGATTTCATAAACATGAAAATTCAAAGGATCACATGTCTTGTTATGCAATGTGGAAAGAGAGGGAGATGCGTCGCAAGACGGGGAATGAGGTATCAACCCTTATCAATGCAGATCAACTAAGGAAAAACCGGTATTATGTGTCCTCACTTATAGATGTGGTTGGGTTTTTGGTTGAAAACCAGTTGCCACTACGGGGAAAGATTGACGCTTTTGATGACATGTCGGAGGGGGGGTCTGGACTTTTCCTTTCCATGCTTTTTTACACCATCCAAAAGGATCCTGAATTGGCGAATGTGGTGAAGACAATCCCTCGCAATGCCACTTACACCTGTCATGATATGCAAAATGAACTTATAAAAACACTCAGTAGTGTGGTGACAGAGGCTATAGTGGAGGAAGTTGGTGACTCCTTTTACACTTTGAAAGTTGATGGGACGCGTGACCCCACAGGATGTGAAAATATATCGATTGTGCTTCGATTTGTGAATGAGTCTTACGAAGTTACAGAGCGTCTACTGTGCATCGCTACGGCTCAGAAAGGTGACGCACAGACATTAACTGACACCGTTCTGACTGAGCTTAACAAGGTTGGCCTGGATAGCTCAAAAATTCTGAGTCAGGTATATGATGGAGCTGCGCTTATGTCGGGGAAACGTGGTGGTGTTCAGAAAATTCTACAAGACAGACTTGGACGTGAGATACCATATGTGCACTGCCTCAACCATCAGTTGCATTTGGTCGTGGTTCATGCCATGTCTGCAGAGACCGCACTTTTGGACTTTTTTGAAGTGTGCGATTCCCTCTACAAGTTCTGTAGAAAGCCAACGGTTGCTATGCATTATAAAGGCGAGCATCTTAAACGTCTTCTGACACAGAGATGGACAGGGCATCTTGCCACTGTCTCAGTCATTCTTAAGTCATTTAATGACATAAAAGCGATTCTGACCGATGCTGATACTGTGCTGAACTATGGGGCAGAGACGAGAATGGAAGCTACGGGCCTGCTGCGCGAGATATCTGAGCCAAGTTTCATGTTCCTTGCCAACCTAACCCACAGAGTCCTTTCTCTATTGGACCCACCGAACAAGCTTCTCCAGAGAGAGGACACTGACTTGTTGACAGGTTTGTGTGTTGTGGCGAGTGCAACAGCATGTGTTAAAAAACTCCGTTGTGATGACGAGTTTAAACAGATGCTGGACACTGCTACGCCCACCAGCGAGTCACTGAGACCCGGACCCAAACGGAGGCGCATAGAGAGCACACGGATGGATGGTTACATCGTAACAGAGCCTACAGGAGGACACAGAGGTGATGATGACTTTGAAACTGAACTTCGGAGATTGTACTACAACACAATTGATTCGGTGGTTGGGGAACTGGAGCGTAGATTCAGCGAGCGCAACTCACAACTGGCAAGTGCACTTGCAGCACTAAATCCAGAGGCCGATAACTTCCTTGATGTGAAAGCGGTGAAGCACATTCTCGACCTGTCACAAACCATAATGATTGACGCTGAGTTTGAAGTTGCTAAAGAGTTTTTAATGTCACAAAAGCAAGCAATGCAGGGGGACTGGACCATACAGCACATAATCTCAACGTACCACAACCATCTGATTGCCATGCCCAGTGTGCTGGCTGCTTTCAAACATGCCTTAACATTTGGCGCATCCACAGCAATGTGTGAGAATTCATTCTCCACTCTGAAAAATGTTTTTTCGGAACACAGACGCACAATGCTACACGAAAGAAAGGCCAGGTTGGTGCAGCTTGCTTTCGAGAAAGACTTGACACGCAAATGCACAAGTGAATGGAAGGACAGAGTACTTAGACGGTTCAGCAGCAACACTCGTCGCCTGCAACTCTTTTGAGGGTAAGTCGTTGGTTCATTTCACTTACTGAAGCCAGCCCTGGCTTTCATGATGATAAGGCCTAAGTTACTTAGCAGGTGAATTGTTGAATGTTTGCTGGGTCTATCTGCATTTATACTTGGCTGCCTGTAAGATAAACGGGCTTATTAGATGGCTTGGTTGAAATTTAATGTATAATTTCTTGATAACTGACCGCTTCTGACTATAGTACACCGTTGCCATTAAAAACAGAGCATTGCCATGGACACAGTTATGTTCACGCGGAAGCAATACAATCGTTTTTAAATCATACTTCTAAAAATTAATATATTTTTTGTGTGTAAAATTATTTATTTGTAAAGTAGCCACAAATTCGCAATCAACAAATAATAATAATAAATAAATAAATGTATTTCGTTTTTTAAAGCATTTCTGCTGTGTTAGCAGAAAAAAAAATCTCAAACGGCAGTGCCCCCCCGCGGATGACCCAATGCCCCTCCAGTTGATCTGCTCTGGCGCCGACTCTGTTAGCGTTACACAATCCAATAGGGATGCAACGGTACACGGTAAAATCCCGGACCGTTCGGTCAGCCCTGCACGGGACAATCTACCCTCGTGTCCCGCGGGACTTCGGTTTTGCCATAGAGTTCGTGCTGATCCTTTTCCCGTATTTTCCGCACTATAAGGTGCACTTAAAAGCCTTTAATCTTCTCAAAAAACGACAGTGTGCCTTATAATCCGGATCGCCTATATGGAATTAGTTAACAACGCTCCGCGTTATTAAATTCGCCCGCGAACTCGCGCTCGTGTCCAGCATATGCCCGCTTTGTCACACGGCGCTGCTCGCGCGTCACAGATGTTCAAAAAAACGCTCCCCGTTCACAGTACCGGGTGGTCTCATTCAAAACAGCGAGCCGTTGCTGCAGCGAGCCGCCGCCAGTCAGGCTGCGAATGTACGTTGTGCCCGCCCCAGCGCGCTCACGCTTACTAAATAAACGCCTCACCTCCGGCTCCGCGCACTCGCTACATTCCCAGCACATCTAGTGGATGCATAACGCAAACCCAGTCAAACGTTTGACTGCAGTATCTTTTTGCACAAGAATCTCTCAATAGTGGATGAGTAAATAACATTGCACTTTGTATCCTGAATGAAGTTTTTTTTTATTATATTATTTTGCTCGGCTCTTTTTATTCAAACCACAAGCTAATTTATGTTTGTTAAAGGTAAAAGTGCACTTTTTCTTTCACATTGATCACTTTATATACCAGTTATCAAGGTTTGGAATTGGGATCCACTTGAATATTCTAAAGTGTTTGTTTACATTTTGTATTTTATAAGTGGTAGTTGAAGAGGTTGTATTACTTAGTTCTGTTCAGTACAGACTAGAGTGTTAATTTATTTCATACACATTGATGTTCTTCCTACTGTGACATTATGTTAATGCATAAGAAAAATAAAACATATTTTTGGGATGAAATAGCAGTCTCTTTCTGCACAAAACATGTACCGAAACCGAACCGAGACCGTGGCCCAAAAACCGAGGTACGGACCGTACCGTGGGCTATCTGTACCGTTGCACCCCTACAATCCAATCTGATGTTAATTACATTGTTCGACCGGACATAACTGTTATATATATATATATATGAAGAGTTCAGATGCAAAAGCCTCTAAATGCCATTTGAAATTTTCTTCTTTAATGAAGATTTTTATCAAACTTGTATATTTAATTTCAGTAATTTCACTTAAATAACAATTAATAGGTAATTATCATTGCCATTTAAGTGAAATCACTGAACTTAAATATACAAGCTTGATAAAAATGATCATTTTAGAAGAAAATTTCAAATGGCACTTAGAGGCTTTTGCATCTGAACTCTTCATATATAGATTGTTTGCGAGATATCTTATCCAGAGTGAATTGGCCATTAATATTACAGACGTCCTGTGGTAAAATTGCATTACTCCATCTCCCTTTGTAAAGTTAACCCCATTCGAATAGGGATTTAGTGATTAAAAGCAATATCAGAGTTTGTTATCTCAAACAAAAGACTTGTTTCAAAGAATAAAACTAGATGTTTACATTTGCTGAGGAACGTTGAGTGGCCTATAGTGTCTGTGCAAAACTACCCACAATTCTAGGTAGTGCTATCCAGGGCTTAATGATAAATCTGATAATTAATGGATCCTATAATAAGATTTGATATACATAATTCATTTGTCATACATTCTCAAACAGGCAAGTTGAACAGTTCATCCTGAAGACTGTAAGATTGTTGTCAAGTCCCCTTTATTTTATATAGCGCTTGATTGTTTCAATGCAGCAAAATGACACAATGACGCAAACAGTTCATTTCGTAAAGCTGTCGTGAGGTCAGTGTTGTTTCAGTTCCATTATAATAAAGATCATCAATTATTCAATTAGTTAATTTCATCTATAACGCAGCTCTGCAGTGAAGTGATGTCATCATCAAAGTTCAGTTCAGTTCTCATCCAATAGTGGCAGTGCAGTCAAATTATAACATTGGTGAATATTACGTGTCAATTCTTTTTATAAGAAATAGTTTTTGAGATTGTTTCAACTTTATATTTAAATCCAACAACAACAACAACAAAAAATGTGTTCATAAACAGCTGGAGAATGCACATGCCTCTCCATAGAGAGCTGCACATGCCATCTAGTGGTTACACCATGATTCTACGCTTTTTCTCTATACTGTAACCAGATGGTGCTAATTTTCTTCAAAAAATATTTTTTTCTGAAGGCCTAGACTCTATATTAAACTAAAATACTGCATTAATTTTTTTTTTTTAAATCTATATAGAGAGAGAGAAAAAAAAAATATATATATATATATATATTTCCATGGCAAAAATAAACCATAAATATTGCATAAATATTAATAAATTCAATTAAATTGTCTCAAAATACTAAATTAAAAAGAATAAATATTATAGAACAAAAATAAATTGCATTGGTTTTACTGGGATGGAGAAAGTTTCATTTTTAGGTGTCCGGTCACTTTTGACCGGGAAGATAACAAGTGTGACTCCGAAAGAAAGGTTAAAAATGTCATTACTGAGTGAATATACACTTAATGACAGTTGTCATAAACATGCATAAAACCTCCTTCGTATTCTTGATATATGATCATAAAGGTGTCATGTCAGTCTTAAGCACACCCCTTCAAGTAAAGTGAGACCAAATGTTCTTACTTTGCCTCTGTTGATCAGTATTACAGACCTCATTGGTTTGAACATGCTTATAATCCGCTCTTTTAGATCTAAAGTATTGAACGGCCAGTGGGAAAACAATCTTCTAAAGCTTAAAACAGCTCTAACCGCTGAGACTGTCAGTCAGAGCCCTGATTTCCAGCTGGATTGGACAGCAATAAGTGGTAATGGTCAAAATAATCGTGAAATGGCCAATTTCTCAATTGCTGGGTTCCTCAATCACCTTGATTACTGTTGCGGTCCACCTTTCTGATGCCACATGTGTGCAGAACACATCCACGTTTTTCCTGAGCAGCCCATGATCGTCAACATGGCAGATGCGGTGAGCACTAACACGCATCAATTCAAGTCATCAGGATAAACTGGTCTGGTTACTCTGAAGTTATAATTGCATTTGAGGTTATTATGTTTAATTTAACGCTGCTTCAACACAGAGTGTAAAAACGCATTGATCTGACGATGAAAATCCAATATCAATCAAATAGGGAATTTAATCATACATTACAATGAGTATAATAAACATTGGCCACTTTCACACATTAATCATGATCACAGAGATAAAATGGTTGGATTGATTTTTTTTTTTCCTGGTAAATGCACCATATCTTACATTCACACGAGCAACAGCTTTGCGATTTTTATTTATTTATTATAATAATCAGAAAGGCTTGTATAAAAATATTGCACTCATGCATACGATCCTGAGTAAACGCGATGGTTTAACTTAAAAAAGTAAGTAATCTGGTTGCCTTAAAATTTTAAGTTGATTGAACTGGAAAAAGTGAGTTAATACAATGAAGGAGAATGATTTAATCATCAGAAACTCAAAATGATATGTTATGTGAACTAAGTAAAATATTTAAGTTGATTTGACAAAAAAAAATGTTGTGATTACTACACTGTAAAAAAATATTGTTGGTTTAACTTAAAAAAGTAAGTAACCTGGTTGCTTTAAAATTTTAAGTTGATTGAACTGGAAAAAGTGAGTTAATACAATGAAGGAGATTCATTTAATCATCAGAAACTCAAAATAATAAGTTATCTCAACTAAAATAATTATTATAAATTTGATTTGACAAAAGAAAATATGTTGTGATAACAAATGAAATGAAAATATTTTTTTACAGTGCAGCAAGGAAAGCAGCAATGGAGCAAACGTGTGTTTGGTGTCAGCAAGACACCGGTGAAGGACTGGCGTACAGGAGAAACAACTCTTTAAAAGAAGACAACACTCTGGAAAAGTGCTGGGTTATTATTTTTAACCCGAACGCTGGGTTCGGCCTGCTATGTCATTTTATTTATTTATTTATAGGGCTGTGCAAAAATTAATTGCGATTAATCGCATCCAAAATAAAAGTCTGTCTTTACATAATATATTTGTGTGTGCTGTATATAATTATTTTGTATATATAAATACACACACATGCATGTATATATTTAAGAAAATGTGTTATTCATATATAAAATATTTATATTTATATAATATAGATTATGTATTTATTTATATATACAGAATTTAAGCGCAAATAATTCTTAAATATATACATGCATGCATAGGTATTTATATATACAAAATAATTTTATACAGCACACACAAATATATTATGGAAACACAGACTTTTATTTTGGATGCGATTAATCGCAATTAATTTTTGCACAGCCCTATTTATTTATTTATCACCCATTTGCTGAGTAGTTTTTCTATAACTCAGTTGCTGGGTGATTTTTACTGTCAATTCAAAGGAGGAAACCCTTCACACCAGCCCAGTGCTGGGTCAATGTTGGG